ATAAAGAAGATAGAAGAAACTACTAATTGTGAATAACCCTCAGAAGTGCAGAATCTTCTTTTATTTTCTCAACACATTCATCCCCATCCTTATCAAATAGCAGGAAGCCCCTGAGGCCAGAGCCTCAACCAAAAGAATATTGTGTGTAAAGCTTTAGCCTGTGGAAACCACAGTGGATCACTCTGCTCTGACACACCTACTTTCACATATTCCAGAAAAAAACACACATTTTACCTCTTAACAGAGGTTGTTTTTAGCACCACCATTCAGATTAATATATTACAGAAAACATTTGAATGATTTTCTTTGCAAAAAGACAAAGAAATATTGGATTTATTATTTTCCCTTTCATTTAGTTTCTTGGTTTCTTGACCGCAAGCTCTCTCTTCATTCTCCTCCACCTCTCTCTGGGGCTCCTGAAATCTGATATGTGCTTCCCCCTGCATTCCTCCTCTCCCCCTTCTCCCCCGGCATGCCTGAGTCCTCTACTCTGCCCTCTGTCTGATCTCGCGTTTCTGCGGACCCACAGCAGATTGTTTATTTTGCTAGACACGGAGGAAACATGGATGGACCCTTACATTGGCCCAAGATTTACTGCTGAGCTCCAGGCAGGCTCCAGTGTGATGTGTATCTGGAACAGGGCCCCCTATATCAGCAAGCTTAGTCTCCTTTCACCAGTGACACATCACAAAGGACAATGGGATTGCCTGCCTAGGGAATGCAATGTTAAATGATCACATCAGTGGAAACATGGTCTTGTGCATGCAAATACTCCACTCATCCTACTAATTGTGGATATTAAGGGCACAGATCATTCAATAAACCATATACACCAAAGTCCTATAATAGACGAAGGGCAACACTCACACACACACACACACACACACACACACACACACACACACACACACACACACACACACACACACACACACACACACACACACACACACACACAAGGATAAGCTGAATGATGCCGGTAAAGGACCACCACATTTCCCCAGAGATCATTTTGGCTGCAATTTATGAGGCTCTGCATCTCTGATGTACGCTTGTAAGTGGTGAGGTCAGGGTAGTGGACTAAAATTGCTTTTGGACACTCATTTTTCAAGAGGAAAACATCTATCTGATCTCTTTATTGTCTACTTTGAGTGTATATATGTAACTTTTAAGTGGCTGCATGTAACTGAGATTGATTACTGGTCTAAAAGCAACAATGGTTTCTAATGAACGCAAAAAACCCAGTCTCTTCTTCTTCTCTTTCTTCTTCTTCTTCTTCTTCCTACACACTTTAATATGTATGGGTTGTGGAGTGCTAATACAATGTGGTCCCACAATGCAGAAAAATACACATATTGTTGTTGAAAATGCTACTTTGTCTTCCAACCTAAGTGAGTGTAGCAGCTGATGGTAATACATGGAGCTTTGTGGAGACAATTATGATTTATGAGTCATATGAGAGAGATTGAAGTCAGTATATTCAGTAAGTTTAAAGAAAGTGAGAGAGATCAAACAGAGCACAGTGCCACATGAAAGGGAACTGTGTATTCATAAGTCTGTCCTATCATCTTTGTACTTCTCCCATCTTTAGTGTTTACCCTCATATGGCACTTAACATTGATAAAGAGTGTATTGAAGAAATATTTCAGATTTTCTTCTCTTTTTTTGGTAATGTATTACTATCCTGTGCAGCCAGCTGGCTAATATAATTTCCTCCACAGGAAGGATGAACAAATAGAGGATTGAGGACGGAACAGAAAGAGAACTTGAGGTGAATGATTCATTCATTGAAATATTCCTCAACCAATAATAAATTAAATCAGTGCTTATCAGTACCGCAGTACCGCAGTCTACAATGACCTTCTTCTTTACCAGATCCACAAGACACTTTATGTCCATAAATTTAGATTTCAAAGCAACCATGGAAAATGAACAACACCCTTAAGATGACCTGCTGCTCCCTTCCTTAAAGGAATTCTTGGAGTTTTTATTTTTATTGGAATCGGGGTTGTTGGTGGCACTCTGGGAGTGTAAGTAATTCTCAGGAGGAGCAGAGGTTGAGGTTGGAATGCCAGCGAGGGTCACAGATGACAACCTCTTGGGCCGGACTCCAGAAGACGATCTGGAGCGACCAGGCCACCGGAAATGGAAATGCTATTCCTGCTTTGTCGGACATATTTGGATACAATCAGTTATAGAGATAGACAAAACTTTGTTGGCTCATTTGATCTAAACCTACATATACAACAATTTAAAGACTAAAATAAAGGGTTTGTAAGTTTAAGAAATGAATGTAGTTGGGTTCCAATTATTAAGATGGCTGAACACTGTCTCTTTCTTAACAGAAAATTGATATAGATAACCTATTTTCTTTTTCACTTTCAGAAACGACTTTTTAAGAAATGTAGCATCTATGTCTTCTGACCACAAGGAGGGCACAGACAGAATAGGTTGTGCCATGTTTACAAATATCACTTTTGATAAATTGTCACCATCTGAAATACATTATTAGATTGTAAAAGTATTAACTTGTGACCGATTATTAATATTCCCAGGCAGGATTAGTTAATATATCACTAAAATTGCTTTATGATATCAGTACAGGTGTTTCATTTTAAAAAGCTAATTTAGTGCACCTTTACTGGCAACATATTTATGTTTGGAAAATATTACATGGAAGTTGTGGATTTCAGCAATTGTAGGGTTGCTTTTTTAATTGACATTGCTACCCCATTAAGATCTAGTATTCAAATGAAACTGCAAATAAAAAAGACCTGTTTCATTGCTTCAGTCCATCATACTATTACTACTACATTTAAGCTCTGTGAATCTTCAACAATATAAAGTTAAAAAACCTCATACATCTCAACATGTCACTCTAAGCTGCCATCTACTGGTTGCTCTTGTTTGTGCTGCTGGTATTTCTTGGGTTGCTGTTTTTCTGGGGAGAGAGTGTACTCAATGCAGTCTGGTACATGGGGAGAAATTATAAACCCTTAATCATGTGCAGAAATATCGCTAGATAAAACAAATAAGGTTTGATCAGTTGTAAAGCACTGGTTGTAAAGAACCGGGAAGGGGATTACCAGTGTGTCACCAGAGTATTGCATAATAAATGGCTCACTGTAGGTTCATGCTGACAGAGAGAATTACAAATGAAATTCCAAGGTATCCCGATAGTAAGATAGTCAGCATTTCTCTAGGATTATGAGGTTTAAAAATAAGTGGAAATAATGAACTAAAACCGAAACTGTAATCCCGTTTGCTTCAGGGACTGGGTAAACCAAGCCACTGCCGTATTTTGGTTTTAATGTTACCCTAGAAACAGTGAAATTATAAATAATAGTCTTGTCAGTTTGTAAATAAGGTTACAATTATATATCAATGCCAAATGAAGCTCAACCATGTACAGTCATGTGAGCTAATTGTCAATTGGTTGTGGCACAATATTTCCAAACAACAGTAGCCTATATTCTATATTCATAATCATCATCCAACATTTATTCTTCCTCAGGAATTTCATACATTTGACTCAGAATAGATTTTCGGAGGTGGATCGGAGGTAACATAACAAGCCTTAACAAAGTATTACTGAGTCTTGGCCACAACAAGGGAACTTCATCTCTAGTGGTATAATCATGACCACAAAACCTTAAATATCACCAGAGGGCACCAAAGTTCAGCAAAGCACACCACCATAAAAACTGGTAATGTAGTGTTCAAGTATATTGTGGAACAGATTAACAAAACTTGCCTTGACTGTTGTTATTTCAGGGTATTGGAAAACAGTCAAGCCTTTGTACTGAGAAATGTAGTATATTTATTCGAGTGAGGCATCTTCTCTCATTAATGAATAAGTACATTTTTGCCATATATTCAAGACTAACTTGTTTTTGCTGACCTCTGGTGATAGTTCTCACCTTGCATTATTCTACAAATGTTGAAGGGAACATTCAGTGCATGTAGATTTCATTGTTGGCTGTGGTAAGTTATTAATATTTTCAGGTGCCCATTTCTTTCACAGATGATTAGCGATGAAACAGGTACTAAGAGTATATTTGGAGTATATCTTTAAACTATGCTGCACATGGTAATGAATACAGATTAGGATTTGGATTAGTTAAAGTACGAAAAAGTAAAAGTTCTCAATTTGCACAACCCCCAATCCAAAAAGTACATATTATTAAATAATTATTACTGTTGCATTACTATAGGTATCACTTAAGTGTTGCAGATAATAAAATCATTTTTATTTGTTATACTGTCGGTCGCTTGTTACATTTACCAAGGGATAAACAAATACCTTTGTTGACAAATAATAATTTATGGTACATTAATGGTTGATTTATTTACTAATACTTTTCATTATTAATCTGAGCCTTTAAAGTAAGGGTATAGATCTGAAGTAGCAGGAAATTGAAATGCTAAAGCAACATACAAGTACCTCAAAATTGTACTTAAGTATTCTTATGTAAATGTACGTTCCTGTCTATCACTGCTTGAAAGGTGCAATAGGGTGCTATACAAATAGTGTTCTAGCTACCAAACCCCTCAAAAGCCATAAACTCACGGCATGTTAATTATTTTTTTTCAATGTAAATAAGTGCAAAGTTGTTATGAAATGTTGAAATACTTAAGTGCAATGACAATTAAGGTGAGCCCAAAATATAAGCCTTTTGTGCCAACACATACATTTCTAAATAGGGCCCAACAGCTAGGTAATGGTTTGCCTAACAGGTTAATCTGGCCATGCTTGTCACAGCTACATTTTATAATAATGCAGGCTCAATACTTTTCAAAAAACTTGTTGATCGTTCAATAATGTAAGACATAGAGTCAAATGAGAACAGTGTACTCTAGTTTTGGACAATTTTCAAATGCACGCAACAACAGTGGGTCGGTTTGCAGACGCGCAGGCTGGAAGAACCCTCAACCAGCTAACCACCCAGAGCTGCTCTGAGCTGCGCGCTGATTGGCCAGGACCAAGTAAAGGCGGAAGTCTACAGAACAGGGGGATTCCCCGAGGGAAGTTCCCAACTCAAACTAGGCTATGTAAAACATACATAGCCATATCCTCTCCGGCGCTTCGTAACTTTGCATCTGAAGATTAGGCGACGACTCTGCGGTGGTGTCAACACAATAAATTCGACTTTAGCAGCTACATGAATGAAGGTAAGAGGACGCTCACTGTGGAGTCGCTGCTCCTTCGCTTTATCCCCGCCACCGGTTGAATGAGCTACAGCTAACCGGTCACTTACTGTTTAAGAAATACGGAACTGTGTGGACTAGGGTTTGCATGACACTTAAAAGTGCTTCCCTCCTGTGCCTCGGTAGGCTCCAACGTTAGTGTTAATGTAGGGTACTTCCTCCAGGAGCCGTTGGTCTGACAGCTACTCTGTCCTTTTATAATGAGGATTGCTTAATAATTGAAGAGCAGATCTGGGTGACGGTGACATCAGACTCTTGTTTTTTTTTTGCATCATCTCAAAACGTCCCCGTAAACTATTATCACAGTAAGTAGTGGTACGGTGCTGAAATTTGCAAAGTGTGCAAAATGTGCTTAAAAGTTAGTTCCGACACTTCACAACAACATGTAGACCTGTTTAGGTCAGCCTGTTTAGGTCAGGGTTGTTAAATGTTATTTCCAAAGAATTGCAAAGTAATTAAATTAATTGTTTTGTTGCTGTGTTTTATTTGCTCAGCAACATCCTCATCATTTGTCACAGACTTCAAACAGGGCATTGATTGTTGAAATGTTAATACTATTCCGCTTTTGCACGTTCAATTATATGGAACCGGAACTGCCAACAATATTTTGTAATGAACAGAAATTAGGAAATATTTTTACTTTCTTTCTCAATTCCTCAGTGGCTTACATACATTTAACACACTTATTTGACATCACTTTAAGGAGTCATTACTTTTTACTTACATTGTGTCTGACAACATAAAGGAAATTAAAAGGGTAACTAGCTTCATATTTTCCTTGTTCGGAAAAGTGCTTTTATCATTTTGTGTGCTGTTTTTTGAATCAACAGGGCTCATGTCTGCTGTGTCAGGGATGATTGTGGAGCACACGGCATGGAAAGGAACATTGGAGACCAGCTCAATAAAGCTTATGAAGCTTATCGCCAGGTCTCCATTGAAAAGGACAATGCTAAAAGGGAACTGCAACAAATGGTAACGTTGTGATGAGAGAAATGTTCAAACGTTGAGTGAAAAAGTCAAATGTTGCCAATATAATAGTTCACAGAGTAGCTTGCTAAGTGTGTTTTATTAGTTGTATTTGTGTAACCAGTCTAATAGAAAGAAATGTGTTTTTGAAAACACGATTAATATTTATCTTTGTATTAAAAAATACGACTAGTTAAAGACCAGATTGCAGATATTGATGCGCAACAATAACAGAAACCTAATTTTTGCAGAGTGTGTATTATGAGAGTTTCACTCAAAAACTTCAAAAGCAGATAGAGGACCAGCAGCAGTTGATTTCCAAACTTGAAGCTAAGTTATCTTCAACAAGGCAACCACCAGGTTAGTGAGACATGCCACATGATCTATACTTATTCTTATGCCGACATTATCATTCTCTGCATCGCAACCTATGTACTGATATTGGATTATCTTACATTGCCTCCTGTTCAAACTGTTCTTTTTCTCTGTGTTTTATAGATATGAAATGTGAGCCTATCTACCATCTCTTCGATGGGGCCAGCGCTTATAAAAAAGTGCAGTACCCGGTATGTTTGCTATGCTACAGTGTGGTTTCCCTCAGTCTACGCTTTGTGAAAAATTGCAATATAATGGCTCTGGAAATGTTTTTTCGTGATTGTCATTGTTGCAATTACACCAAACATACATGCAGCTTCCTTTTGTCGCACACAATTACACGTTGATAGTACTTCTGCTTGATGATGTTGTTGCACTTGTGCCAACAAGGATGTTAAAGGTAGGGTAGGTAATTCACTTCAGAAACGCTTTTTGTTATATTGCATGGAATGCTCTTAACATCCCGATAGCAATGAATAAATGAAATGCTTTGACAATAAATATATACAAATATTTCATCTGTGGAAGCCGTGGCGCTGTAAAAAGCAAGTGGCCTACCTGCCTGTCAGCCTTCCATCTCGTGCACAAACTTATCTCGTGCCCTCATTGGTCATGTGTGCGTTCGTGTGTGTTGGAGGAGGGGCTCTGTAAGGAAGTCTGAAGGAAGAGGCAGATTTTTTTTTCAGCATTTTTTTATAATCTCTTACCATTTTCTAACACTGCTTTTGTGTCTGTCAGTCTGCAAATATTTAATTCATTGTAGCATTTCTGGCCTTTTGTTACACAGCTCTAAACCAGTTTGCAGATAAATACATGATAGTTAAGAGACATTATATCCTTGTTCAGTCATTCATGCTTATCAGAGATGAATATCCATATACCTTTAGAGTTGTATAATGCTTCCAATTGTTTTTAAAAAGGTTCAAGCTAAAAGGAAACCTCAGATTACATTGCTGCTGTTACAATATCCAGCCACTATTTCACTCCTCACAAGGTGTATCTGCTCTGACTTCACCAGATGGTGCTAGAGGATAATATCACTTGCACACTTCAGCAGCTTGAGATTTGTTCAATATTTAACAGGCCAGGAAACATGCTCCACCAGTAAATGTTTGATGTGTAAACTGCAGAGGCATTAACAATATGCCTTTGGGTAATTGTTGCTAACGATCTCTATGAATGTAATTTCATTTTTTCACAGGACAACATGGGCACTGTTGCTCCTATTATGCCAGTCAACAGCAGCGTTGACTAGTATGTGTATCTTACATTTTTATTTATATATTAAATCATGAACATTTCGGTTAAAGAATGGATTTTTTTTCACTATTTTTTTTCTTTTTCAGTCAGGACATGTTGGAAGCATTTGAAGCAATTCAAGGGAAATTCCGGCAGATTCGCTCTCTTACCAGAAGACAAAAAGATCACCTAAAAAGATTCCATGCAGGAAATGATGCATCAAACGGTAATGGTAATATACACCAAAACAATTCCTTTTCTTTATGGCCTTTAACCTAAGTCTTGTTTTCTACAAAGGAAGGAAATGTACTGAAATTGAAAAAGGTTCATATATGTCATACCACTTATAAGTTAGCTTTCTTTTGATAAAGATAAATATTTAGCAACACCTTAACTAAGACTGTTCACAAATGCCTCTGTGCCCTTTGGAACAATAGCTGGCAACCTTTGTTTAGAAAATGTATTATACTTATTCATACAATATTTAACACAAAGGGTAATATAAATATTGTTTTTAACAAATAAATAGGTGTATATAGCTATGTATTCAGCTAATTTGTGTGTATACAGTACATGTTAAGTATTCAGTATACTGTATTTTTAAAGGACCAGGATTATATCTCAATGCAACTTTTCAAATCGTTGCCAAGTTAAGATGTCATTAAAGCCAGCGCAGGAATACGGCGTCAAACACGGCGAGCGAGACAGAAAAACTGTAAAATCTTGTGTTTTTCTGCCTCTGACAGATCAGCGGTTTTCCATGCCCATCCAGTGCACAGACCGTACAGCAGAGGCACAGAGACCCTTCTCCGCAGTGCTCAGGTCAGCGGTGGATATTCCAATCCCGCCGACGTCTCTGGCGTCCCGCGGCACCAGCCCCGAGGACAGGGACTTAGTAGACTCTTTCACCAAACTCAGTGTCAAATTCCCGCCCTCTGCGGACAGTGAATATGACTTCCTGAACAGTGCACCAGAGAGACACATTGGTCTGACCATGCCCACCAAGCGGCCTCTCAGTACTGTTCCCTCCACATTGTCAGAAGAGGAGCCCGTGGAACTACCCATGCCTTTTGTCTACCCCCCATCCCCCTCCCACTCAACATCATCTTCGCTCTCCCAGGAGAGCGTGCGGGGACCCCAGCAGGTGAGAATCACAGGAGAAGGTCGGAGAAAACTAGTAGCACATTATCAGTGTCTGATTGGTATTTGCTAATGGAGGAGTGAAAGAGTGTGAAGTCCTAAAAAAAAATCCCCTTGGCTTTATTTGAAACATATTACTGTGTAATGTGTTCTGATTCTTTTTTTATTCAAGCATGGATGCTCTGGTTAAATTTGGCATCTTAGCTAGAATATGTGAGCCAGATGGAAGCACATTACAGAGTCTGAATTGAGTGGTATTTTATTTGCTGATGTGTGCAAATGTCTAATAAAAACAAAATTGTGAATGACATGCAGTCAGATCTTAAAGTTGCTCCAGTTTTCCATGTTGAGATTCTTTCCCTGGATTACACCAACATGGACTTTTATAATAGGCTGGTTTCCTTGTGTGTTTAAACACATAAAGAGTGAAATAATTAAACACTTGAGAATAGCCTTTTGCCTTCACTGTTGCTGAGCGTTTGTGCAGACTTTTGGGTCGACATATACTTGTTTTTCTTAAAGCAACAGATACTTCAACTTGAAGGCCAAGCGGTCCAACATGCTTTAATAGAGTGAGTGTAAGGATTGTTAAGAGCATAAATAATATATTGTCTTCTTTGGTTCCTTCTGCCCTGCAGCTCCTCTGGAGCCCTAGGCTGTGTGATGCAGCTGATGTGGGGACAGAGCTGGAGACGCCTCCGAGCAGCAGTCCTGATAAATGTGCTTTCTGCCACGCTGTGGTGTCTCAGGAGCGAATGAACAGCCACCTCTACTTACATTGCTCTCCTAAAAACGAAGCCGACAATTGACAGTGGAAGCAGAGACTGGCAAGGCCCCGGCTACTCTGAGACTTGTTGTTCTCATGGTGTAGTCCTACCCGCCATGAACAACATGCCAGTACAGGATTTGAAATGACACTGCAATAGGACTTGAATCCATTTATTTAATATAGAAGAATTGAATGGTACACTTTCTTGCCCATTATATTTTTCTAATATCACGCTGAGATTTTACTCTAGTACTAAGTGACAATGATACGGTAATAATATGGTATATATGAGCAAATAAAGCCGACATTTACTCTTTACATTTTATATCATTGGATTGGTTTTCAAGATGTAAATATAAATGGGGTGCTCATCATAAGTTTATCCATACATTAAGCGCTAAAATGGACAAGATTTGCATTCTTTCTGCAAGATGTTTATAAATTATTATGCCAAAACCTAATTTGCATTATTAATATGTAGTTACTTTTTAAAGAAATGATTTGCTTTGTAAATTTGCAATATTTTTTGTTGAATTAAGACACCTTTACCTCTTTTTGTTGGCAGCAAGATGTGATATCTCAGAACAACCAGCGCTACACCCGGCTTCATTTTAGCTGGACTCATCAATGAGAGCCAACATATAGAGGAGGTACCTGCACACTTAGATATGTGCAACATTTTCCACTTTCTTTTTGAGATTTCGGTCTAACAGCCCTTCATTAGAGTATACCTCGTATATATCATATCTCAGAACAGATCTTTTCCAAAACATGACGTATTGATTAGCACTCTTTAGACTGGCACTACATTCCCATCGTTCTTTCGTGTTGTTTACTTCAACCAGGATAATTAGAAGCAGATGAATGTCATTAATGGTGCGGGGAGATGGGAACATTTCCAACTTAGAAATTATTTTAAAAGGTAGTAAACCATGTACTCATTAAGAGTCTCCACAGATGGCAACATCTAACATTAGGCACAAGCTTGTTGTTAAATCACATGGCCATTACATACAGTGTTTATGTAGGCATAATCATTTTAATTGACAAATGAACATTAATACTCCAGAGTTATAATATAAGACATTCCAGGTGTGCCAGTTTAATGTGTAATTTAAGCTAATATTAAGAAAATAATAGTTGTAGAAAAACATATAGAAAATTGATACATAAGAAGATTAGGGCCATATGCGGAGAATGTATTTCGGCATATACTGTATGTCAGCTATACTGAAACATCATCTGTTCTATTTCCAAATGACAATGTATTTTACTGAAGAGAATTAGGGTTCATGTGAAACATTTATTTCAGTTAGTTTAGAGTCAGAATACTCTCTTTAAACTGGCTTACATTTTCTTATATGGCCTTACTCTTTCCATAAAATACATTGTGATTTGGAACAGATCATTTTTAAGTCTGTCACATTTCCCAGTGTGCACACAACTATCATTTCACTGAGTCTTTTCTGAACAGCAGCATCGGCTTATTGCATGCAGCAGTATTTATTCACACCTTTACAAACAATTTCAGTGATTTTCACCATTGGGCGTGATGATGTTTGAGGAAACGAAACACTGTGTGAGTGTGTTGGAACACTGTGTTGTGCAGAGAGGACCTTGCAGCCCTCAGCTATGGGCTGCTAACACTTGCTGCGTAGATGAGCTAGTGTGAAGACTGCAAACAACCTTTTTTAAATCTCTTTAAGTGTTTGGTATTCTTACTATATACCACTTATCAAATACTGCTTAACAGACTGATTGATTTGTTATATCAATCTTAAACTGATATTTGCGTTGCACATTTCACTGTGTTTCATTAATAGCTCTGAAGGGTGTAAACATATGCAGAGTATTAATGCAATAAACCATTCTTGTGAGTCATTGAACTTAGAGAAGAGCCTTCCTAAGATACAACATGCCCACCATGGATACGTAGGAAAGAATTTATTCAGATTTTATTTTTTTTGGCAAATGCATATCCCTAATGATCCTCTCTGGTTAATCTGTGAAGAGTCGAACATTGTGCAGCCTGCATGCTTTTCTCTCTGGGATCATGAACAGCTGCTTGCTCATAATTATGTTGTCATTCATTGTTATTTGGAAGAGGGTACTCATACTGACAGCTAGAATTTTTTTTCTATGCTTCCGTACATTGTACATTTACACTGCTTGTGTGTGCAGTTGTGTGAACTGTTTTAGAAAAGTCCACTTCAGCTTTTTTTGTCACCATCATTTCCAGAAGAATATAAGAAGTGCCATATTTCCATTTGATACCAAAAGGCAGTAGATTTTAGATGGATTTAAGAGCTGTTAAAAAAAATGAAAGGGGACAAAAAAAAGGAGAAGGATATGGATTGAGATGGAGAAGTAGCAGGCTGATTAAAAGGTGTCAACATTGCCAGGAGCAAGAAGGTGAAAGCAATCAGGGGTGAGAAGAGTGCAGCATTTGTGAGGGGCAACTAATTATCCATCTCATTTAAGGAGAGAAGCATTTGAGGCAGCTCTAGCCCACTGAATGGTGACAGATTGGTGCGGAGGAGAGGGGAGGTGTTAGAACAATGGAGCCCAGCTCACCATCATTACTGCATGCTAATCAGCAGTGCTTCTGCACCACCAGTCGGTGCTGCGGAGAGTTCGGGCCGAGACAGGAGAGTCACCGGCTTCAGGGGACCAGCCGACAAGAGAGGGGGGGAATGATGCACAGTACGGCTGTCTGCACTTATTTGACTTTCTAGTTTATCCTATGCATCTATTGATCTATGTGGCCTGTGTCATCCGCTTGGAGGATTAATGCCACTAAAAGTTTAAATCAGTAAAATAGAAATAAATAGTATACATTTTAGGATTTCAGACAGTGGCAATGTTATTCAAATGCCGATACAACACAATGTCTATGAGACTCAATAAATGCACATTCAGTCTATATAAGCAAATTACATTTAAATTTATGAAAACGAAAAATAAGGAAAAAGGAGATGGAAAAGTAGTAGAAAAGCTCAATAAAATGATACAAGAACAGGCTAGATAAACCAAGAAAATAATTCACTACTTTGTTGTGAGTACTGCAGAAATAATTGATGAAAAAATTCAAATCAGAGTCATCATTATAATTTCATAAAATACACATAAAACAAAGCTAGTTCACATGGTTGCAACACATTACTTATGGTGTCCCTTTCTTTGTCAATTTGTTCAGCTGTACTGAGTTCTGTGTTCGTGTAACAATGGTGTTCAAAAACTGATAAAAACAGCTTTGTGTTCCTGAAGAAATTACACTCACATCCTATTGTGCACATAAGCATATAGCCACAGAAATCACACGTTTTCTAATGCGTGAAGAAGGTGTGTTAGTGATTGTTTACAAAGCATGCTTTTATTTTGGGGTTAGCTAAATAGTATTATGCTTATTAGGGTGGTCCTTGTTATGCTTTTTACATGTATTGACAGTTTTCATTAATATAGAAAAAGTACTTTTCCTTCTTAAATTACCTTCAATAGTGCCTGTATTCATATATTATTATGAATAGTGATTGTATTCATCACTTCTGTTTATGACTGGTTTGTGACAACAGGCTTAATAGATATCAAGACATTTGTGCTTGATATAAAATATTCAAACAACAATAATATTTTGAATTTTTCCTTTAAACATTTTCTTTTGATCTTTATTTGCCAGTATTTGGATCATAATTGCAGTAGTAAAGAGACAGATGAGGCGCCATTCCACCAAGTCATTTTTTCAACAATTACCCTTCTTAATATACAAACCATGGTTACCAGATCGTGCCATTGCCAAGAAGGTCCAACACGAATGGGGGGAAAAAAAGGTGATTGTTAAAGGGGTTTCATCAGATCGTAAAACAAAACAGAGAGATAGCAAGTGGACTAAGGTCACCTGACTAGAATGGCCTCTTCACATCAATGTCATTTAGATAATTAACAACTTTGGAGAGAAGCATATTCAACTGTCTGTTCACTGGTCACCGTTGGCATGAGAGACTGCCAACTCTCATGGCGTTGGGAGCTGAGAGTATCACCTCACAGTTGTCTTGCCATGCGTTGGGCTGCTCGTGCTCTCTGTGCAGCAGTGGCGGAGCCGACTTTGGTTTCGATTAAATGTGTTGAAGCCATCGCTGCCTGTGCAAAGTCTCAGAACAGCCTCCCCTCTCCATTGTGTTTGTTTCAGTGCTGGTCTGAGAGCCCTGCTTTCTGGAGCAGAGATTTGGCAGTCACAGCAAGTGATGACAGAGGCAGTGGTGAGATCGCACCCAGAACCCCAGAGGAGGCTCACATTTCAGGGGGATGAGAGGCTTGTTCAATACACAGAACACAAAGGCACTGATCAGAGGAGTCTGAGAATACTATTGTTCTGCAAATCACATTGTTCAGCAACCACTACTTTTATGTTTACTTGTGGATGGTGGGAGTGTTGGACATTTGTTAACTTCTGAACTTTTTAAAGACACTTGGCTGCCAATTGGAAATAACAGTACGACTGAAAGTCTGGCTCTCAAGATGGCATCCTCTTGTTATCTTATTGTCTCTTTTAAATCAGTGTAGGTTGTTTTTTTCTCTCTTCTTGACACATGGGGGTGGGATGGAGCATGGTGATGTTTGCAGAATGGTAACTTGCAATTCAAGGGTTAAGGCAGCATGAAAGAATCCATTCTCGGTTTAATGACCTAGCCTTGCTGGGCGAGGACGACAGGGAACATGCTCTTGACTTGTACTGAATTTGCCAATTAACACCTCTGATAACAGGCTGCCTCTGAACATCACCAATGTAGAGGGAGGAGGAGCAACTCTCATGCACTTTGTTTTTCAGCCCCTGATCCTGTAAGGATAAGGTCTGCAATTTCTTCATACTACAAAAATGATTTTGCCTTGTTCACGGCTTGGTAAATTCTCTTTCATAGTAGAAGGCTTTGAAATAAATCCTCCCTTCATGTGCTGTGTAGTCACCGACTGGCAATGATGTTGGAAATATTTTATTTTTCCACGTGCTGCTCGAATCCTTATGTAGTTGTTGGACATTCTATTTTTCGCACATGCCCATATGGCCATGTGCAGCTTCAATTAGACACATGGCTGGTATCTAAGATACACCGTGCTTGATTGGCTTTGTCCCTTCTTATTGTTGAAATCGAAAACACAAAACAACAGCGCTGTCCTTGATAGATATATGTCTAAAAAGATATGTCCCCTCAAATAAGGTTCCCGATTGCATTCACCCCTCTGGTTTCACACATGCTTATCAGACTCCCAAACAACACCTAGTACAGGTGTGAATATCAAATTCCCCAGTGAAAATCACAGTGGGTACTCGTGTGTTGTCCTCAGGGTCTTTTTACATGCAGCAGTGGTTTGCATTTGGGCCAAGATGCTGCCGGCTAACGGCAACTGCAGAAACACCTTTGGCTAAGTGCAAGGTGGACATCCTTACACCAAAAGGGCTTAATGACTGAAAAAAAAATGCCACCCAGATCTAATTGAAAAAGGCGATGTACAGTAGCTGGTTTTGCCCAGTAAAATCACACCATAACACAGTAGTTTCACAATTCATTAGCAGGTACTTTAACAATATACAATAATTGAAAGATGGCTGTATAATTGATAGCAGTTCACACCATGGGGAAAGTGCAGCGATCCATCTAATGATAGCAATAAAGTGAAGTGGGTTATGAAGAAGAAGTTAACACTTGAGGTGTGAGCACTGTACAGTTGTGAAGAAAAAAGGCCTCGTCCTAACACTTTGTCAACATAACAGATACAAACACTCCGAAAATGTTAGTCATATTGATATCTGAACAGTTTCACAATGCTCAGAGTTATCATAGCTCTCGTGTCCTCATGGTGACCACCTTCATGTCATGAGCAGGGATGCTCGTATGTAAGAGATGCTGCTTACAAATCAATTCATATATTCAGTGTTAAGAAACCATCTGGCTTGATTAGAGCTGAAAGTCATCCTGGCAGGCCAGTTTCCTGACTGACACCTCATAGAATTAGTGGGAGGACGGCTTCATTTATCGTCCTTGGTCAGCTCAAAATACGCAATTTATCATCTTGCCATACTCTAAACTCAAATTTAAACAGGAAAGTCTTCCACCAGCTCCGCTTATCTCGAGTCTTTGTTACAGTATTAAACAGATTCAGCATATTCGGGTTGTTGTTTATTCGACGTAGACAGTGAGATATAACACTTTTTGTGTTCTCTTTGTGGAAGCTGTGAAAATGGCACGCCATATGTAATACACTTGCTTGCTGTTGGTCTTGCCAATTCCCCCAAGATCAGTCATTTCTGTGCCAACGCTCACACTCTCTCTTTGTCCTTGTGATTCGATTGAGCTTTGTGGATTGGATGGCTTTCTTCTTAAAGCTGTGTCGGGTGTTGTCAAGTTGTTGATTTGATGTCACTCGGGCTCATTTAAAAAATAACAATCTGAACCAGAACATACGTGTTCAGATGCAAACCTACGAGCACATTTAATATAATCAGTCAAAGATAGTTAAAGCACCCAGAAATAGGAAGGAAAAAGCCTGAAGTACACATCGTAAACAGGAAGCAGATGAGAGACAGGTAGAGATAAACCAAATCAGGCTCCTGCGATGTTTTTCCCCCTTCTAATTCTGCACCAAACAAATTGGCTGCATATTTTGTTCACACCTTTTGTAACCTGGGGATAACAAGCGCACTTCTCCCCCGTCATACCTGTGACAACAACCTGCAAAGTGCTCCCAGTGCCCTAATCTGAGTCCTGCTGCTGCGGCTGCATGTAGATGTTGTTTTCATCTTCATAAGCAGCTTGTCCCTGTGTTTTTTTTTTTACATTTACCACCCACCAGAATCACACAAGGTAAAGGAGAATATGCGAGTGTCTCACAAGCTACCAATTTTTTTCACGAAAACATGGTCGCGCTCGGTAGAAGGCAATAAAGGCATACTGATGGTGTTTGATTTAGAAATGGCAGTCAGACCAAGATTTTAGCATCAACAGATGGCCAGTAGCTTGGTTTAAATGAGTAACACCACTGCCTGCTTTAGAGTTGGCTCAAGTAGTAGAGTAGTGTACTACCGTCTGATCATATCTCCCTGTGTGAATGATGATGTCACCATGATAGATGCTACTCAAGTGGGATCAGACCTACTCAGTGATGCCTGTAGAGACCAGCTCTGGGAGATCCCTGTCTGGCTGCATTATTCAACAATACTCCTTACCTCTCCTAGGGAAAAGGGACTGTTGAATATTTGAAAGATAGAATTTTATTTTTTATTTAAGTGTTTAGATGTTGATGGGAGAGAGGGGGGAAAAAATAGAGATAGTGCCAGTCGGTGCAGCCTGGATGGTCACCAAGGCAACTTGCCGAGATTTTCTTACTGATCTGCGGGACTTCTTGGCCGTCTCACTTGGGGGACGTTTTGGAAAAGTAAGCTTCCTCGAGCGCCTTTTGACAGCGACTACGAGTTGCTGGATCATTGATCATTTTAGTCTCATATTTATGGACACCAATTAGTTTGGATTTCTGATGAAACCTTCTTGCAAAGAGATTTGTAGTCACCTGCATGCATGTCTATATTTTTCTGGCATTTGCTACTCCTTTTAAACTTTGTCGACTAGGGCTCAAACTGTAGCTTAAGTGAACTTTTTTCTAAAATCTTAAAAATAGTAAAAGTTTATGAGTCTCCTCTCGACTCCTGGGGTGTTTGGTGAAATTGACTATATCAATATTTCAGCTGCAACATAAGAAAGGAAATCTGCTCATTGATAACGTACCAGACATTGTGCCAGACAGTTATGGCCTATTTTCAGAATGACAACGTAAAACAAACAACAAGAAAAAACATGGCTGCAGAACCACTGCTCCAAGATCCTGACGAGCCACGCTGACTATCGATCCATCTGGCTCCGAAGACACTGTCATGTCACCTTTGCATTTAAGTGTTATGTTGTCAGTTTCAAATGATCTAGCTGTCAGAGCTGGAAAAAGCCGGCCTGTGTGATGATTCTTTGTCTTTAAGTCAAGCTGATAGATTTGATATAGTATTTTTACCTTTAATCTCTATATTGGATGTTTTTCTAAATATATTTTTTATTATTTTGTATATTACACGTCATTTTAACATACATTCAACATTGGTTCTCGACTTCACAGCTTCAGTCACTCTTTATTTTCCTTGGTGTCGCTCACTCCTTCTCAAGACTAAAAATACAGTTTACAATAAATGTTACCAGAAGCTAAAAATGAGTGCAAATGGCTTCAAATT